TTTCGTCAAATGAACATTTAGCCTTAAAATGGTATGAAGAAGCAAGAAAAAATGGGCATGAAATAGCACAGGAAATGATTGAATCCTATAATTTTGAAGAAATATACCCTATTAATAAGTTCCAATAGCCATTTGAACACCTTTTATTCTTATAGTTTAGCAAATTTTATCACTTGAATTTATTATATACTGATTTATTTCTACACATATATTTATTTTATCAGTTCTCTAAAGTAGATACCTGTAGCAGGATTAAATTTCCATTGATTATTCCAAAACCTAGTAAAAGAAAGTCAAAGGATAAAGATTCATCTTATAGAGTAGAACAAGTTAAACTAAAAGTAGGATTTACCCAGCTCAAAGTAAACCTCCAACGCCTTTCCATTTCGCTTCGGGGCCAACAATGATCCAATCAGGAACTGGCACGCCGGTTATCTTCGGAAATAATTTCGCGGCATTTTCAAACCCTCCTTCATTCGTACTAGTAATAATTAATGCTAAATGTGACTTTGCAATGGGTTGGTCAAACGGATGAAGAAAAAGGATTCCTAAAAAGTTAATTAAAATGTAAAAAAAATAAAATAAAAGAAGTTGAATGTAATGAAAAAATTTAAACATAAATAAGCTACCTGTATTCTTTTCGTAAAAATTCCTTTTTGCAATCGTAAAACTTTCTGTATCAAATGTCACTATACATAAATAGAGTAATTTTTATTAATTACACTAATCTAAAAAAAAGTTTAAAATCAAATTGTGAAAGTTCTATGAACAATACCTGAACTAGGCCTCTCTTATCAAGTAAATTCTTCGTAGCATAATTGATATCTGGACCACCTAGCAATACTAAATTGCCATTTGGGACTTGACCAGAAGTTATAATTTCCGCGTATTCTTTATCTGTAAGTATCAACGAATCACCTCGACCGTAAAGAAACCATGAATTGGCTATCTCTAGTGCAATATGCATATACAGTATATTGAAGATAGCTTGTCTTTAAATTGGTTTCCAATTATAATTAACAATGGTCCAGGAGACTCGAGAACCTGAATTGCAGGTCCGTAATTATCGCTGTGTCTTTGAGTTTTCTTCCATGATTCGTTGACATTTGTTATTTTTGATATTAAATCAAGGAATACGTATGTATGCGTTAAACTTCTAATACGTCAAAGCAAGAATTGTTCAACTTTTTATAGTGATAGGAATGGAAAAAATTACCTCCCAAGTACCATTTTCCTTCTTAGAATATAACACCTTTTGTAATTTTAAGTTTCCTTGTCTATTTACTTTATTAACTGTAAATCTACTGATATTTGTAGCTCTGAAATCGAACAATTTGTTGGGATCTGACGACGGCTTATCCAAAAACATAGTAAATATTGCCAACCTAGCAACAATAAGTACCGTTACGAGCGCGCATAGCGACAGACAAAAATTGCATTTGTAGGACTAGTAATTGTATAGATATTTGAACTAGTGATAATATTAATTGCATTGGTAGAATCAGTATTCGATATTGTATTGATATTGAATTGTGTGTTGAATTGGCATTAAGTGAACTTGTATTAGCAATTTCTGAATTTCCAAAGCTCATACCAAAAAATTAACTTCAATTGAGGCATTTGGACATATGCGCAGATGTGACTTACACCGAATTACTGAATTGTTGTTGTCGAAATCCAGCAATATGACCAATTTGATTAAAATGTTCCCATATAGAACTTCGAGAAACCATAATGATAAAATATGTACAACAACAATAAAAATGCCTTAATTGGTGAGACCGGTTAGCAACTATGCGCATAGGCACATCTCTAACAATGCGGCGTTTTACTTCCGGAATGTTTTTATATTTCCTGAATTAGCCAACAAATGACACAATTAAGTCACTACATAAAGAATGTAAGTAAAACAGATATCTGCTTGTTACTTTATTAAAAAATAACGAAATTACAAAAACGATAAATAAATAAAAACAGCAATATTTTTTCCGTTTAATAAATTTCTGAAATCTTAGACGATCCCGATGGAGGATGCTGAGAGAGATGGTGAGGCACAACTCATACGAACAGATTTTGCAATATTTTCAACATTGATAAAAGATGTCCAAAATTACGTGGATAAAGTTGGCGAATGTTACGAAAATGCCGAACATAACAGAAGAGTTTGCCGCGTATTATATAAACGTGTCAATAACGCTTTGAGCGAAGTGAAAAATTTACGTCCACTAAAAGATGATTTCAGTTGGTTTTTTGAAAATAGTAGAAATTATCAAATTTTTCAAGGATTCGCTATAATAATTAAAAAAATCCGAGATTTTATTATCGATATTTCACAATTACATAGCGTTGTTAAATACTTTAATGAATATCGAAGTCCCGAATTTTCGATGGATAAAAAGTTTTATAGTCTTATTCAGGAATTCGAAAAGTCCACGAAAGCACTTACCCATGCGTCAAAAGGTCATCTCTATTTTGCGAGACCGGAAATAGATCAAAACATCGAAGAAGCTATAAGTCTGGATATTCGTGATATGGAAAATGTAATACATGTATAAATGAAGGTTTAAATTCAAAAATCGTACACTAAATAATTAATCTATTATATCTATTATATACAAATTCTTGATTTAGTATATTAGAATTATCACTGGCGGCATTGCGGATGGACAAAAGATTTTAGAAGAAGTCAGAACTATCACTACTCTAAATAAGACTTTACAAGAAAAAGAAAATATCAAATTTTTTGATGAAATTCTTGAAGACAAAGTTCTCAATATCAAATACTTTAAATATACCAGAGTAAAGGAAAACCAAGTACAATAATATGTAAAATTGATATCTCCATACAAGAATGGCTTGGTCGTATTCACTGATGTTTTAGTTAATGAGGATAATATTAAAAAAGATGTCACAATTCTTAAAAAGTTAAAAGGAGTAAAGAATATCATTGTGTTTTATGGAATTATAATTCATGAGGAAATAATGGTAACTGAATGGGTTACTGAATCAAGTTTGAAAGCTTTTTATCAAAATAATAAATTAAATTGGAATTTGCAAATGCAATTCACTTTAGATGTCACTAGAGGATTAGCTTATTTAAGATATGTTGATATCTTACATTAAAATATACGCAGTAAAAATATATTTATTACAAAAGGTAATCTGCAATATACAGCAAAAATCAGCAATTTCGGTTTAAGTCAGCCTAAGTCTGGACATCTTCCCATATATTTTCATGAAAGTGTTGTTAGTATTAGATACAGTACACCAGAGAAGCTTAAAGATCATAAATATCAATATGACTTTAAGTGTGAAACATATAGGTAAAAAATTTCATTATCAGCAATAGTTTATAGACTTCTTTCTTATTGAATTTATTTTATAGTTTTGGAGTGGTTCTTTGGGAAATAGCCGAATAAAGGATCCCATTTCAGCATATAGAAAATAATATTGTAAGCATTCGTCAGATGATTCTTGAAAATGGACACGAACTATTTTCTTTGCCATTACAAGTTTCAGTGGAATGGATAGAGATAGTCAAGAAAGATAACTTTGAGATTATTTATATTTATTAAAAAAAAAAGTCTAACAGATTATTTCTTTAATGTATAATCAGCTACAAGCTTTTACCCCACAGATCGTCCAACTATTGCATATATATTTACAGAGCTATTTGATCTTTCTGAAAAAATTCTTCCTCTTCCAGCTGCTCAGCAACCTGCTATCCTTACGGTGCCAACACCAAGGATATTTTTTGTTCAAACTGTTCAAGATGCTATAAATATGCATAAATCGAAGGATGGTGATCATAAATTAGCATACCAAATTTTTTGCTACTATGCTGATTTAGGCGATTACACTGCAAAATATTGGGTCGGATACTACTTATATTATAATAGCTTAAATGAACCACGAACTAGCAAACAACAAAAAATTGCAATAGTGTGAGCTGCACGATATTTTAAAGAAACTGCTGATATGAATTTACCTGAGACTCAGCTTCGTTATGGTCATTATCTATGGAAAGGAGAGGGTGTTGAAAAACATGAAGCAGAAGCTGTGAAATATTTTGAGAGATCCGCAAATAATGGAAACACAACTGCTATGTATAACATTGGAAACATGTATTACAACGGATATGGAGTAATTCGAAACATAGAAAAAGGCGCATACTATCTGAGGCTGACAGCACTAAAAGGTCAACTGAAAGCTATCGACATGTGCAAAAGATGTCAAATTTCACTTTAAGTTTTATCTGAATTTTGTTAATTATATTTTTTGACAGAATGAAAATATGGATTTCTCGATGTACCTTGGATATAATGAATAATTTTATATAATTTTTAAATTTTACATTAGTTCATTATAAAAAGCATAGCGGCTCTATAAAAAATGTATGACTTAATAAAAAACTTTTTTTAGCAGAATCACCACCACTAATTTTAAGAAGTTAAAAACATTTTATGACGAAATCTTTTTAACAAAAAATATAAATTTCCTCTGAATATTTCGAATGCATGATCTGTCCTTAGTAATTTTATACAATGAAAATTTGCAATTTTTAGAACTAGTTTTGGTTGTCTTTTATATATGTATTTTGTGTCAATCACGTATTAGATTGCAGTTTTTAACCTTAGATATGTTAAAAGAAAAATAATTAAATAAATCCGAGAGCAAATCTGAAACCATTTGTATCCTTTATATTTTGTTTTCTCTTTGGTGATTCAACATAACTTTACTGTGTCAATTAGCATTTAGCAATTACGTATACCTACCTTAATGGTATGAAAAATTATTATTCAGACCATGTACTACTTACTATTCACAGGAATTCAACATATTTTAATAACTTCATTGTCAAATAAAATCCAGTTTCTTCCTGGAATTAGAATTAATGAGAGCAAAACATAATATGAATTTATTAATCAAATAATAGCAAGCAATAGGGTAACAATAATGGAATTTAAGAAAACTGTATCGGTAACATCCAATTCCTTTGCTCCTAAATTATAAATGAATGCCGATACACAAGTACATCTACATGTAATATCATAACTAAGAAAATAAAAAAAGGCAATTATTGGCGTGCCACGTTGTTTCACTATCACTCGAATTATAAAAGAGAGTTCTTTCAATGGCACTCTCCGATTTTTCACATATCATACGATGCAAATGGTTGGGGGAAGGATTAGGAAACTTTTGACATCAGGTCGCTTATCTTGAGATAGCTCCTTCGGGGTATGTTGATATTACTCATTCTCCATCCTTTCCACAACACTTATCGATAAGAATTTAAAATAGAGTAATATAATTTGATAAGGTTGACATTATTATTTTTCATGCTAAATAAATTCGATACGAGTTATACTGTTACGGGTGATGATTATTATTAATTAATTGCGAATCTTTTAGTTTATAAGGGTTGTAAGAGTGTTTACTATATAATGGCGGGTAATTCTGGTTCCTGTGCCGATATCGTGATATAGAACGAATATGAAGAACAAAGAGATGAGCGATATGAGTAAGTAATTCTGCGGGGTTTCTCTACTAATTCCAAACCTAACTATAAAGTTTGCTTTTCCTAGATAAAAGCCTTAAACTCTCCGATTTCACAATTACGTTGCCTTTTCTGGTTTAAAAGTCCTAACCAATGATGTTAATGCCTTTTCTGGTGTAAAGGTCCTAACCAATAAATAAAATAACGGGAAATAAGTAAGGAAGGAAAGTATCGTACATTCTGGCAGAGCATTTTTCTTTTTTTTTTAAAAAAATGAGCGATGACCAAAAGTAATTTATTATTTCGATTTATTATTGATTATAAAGATTAATTATTTTTTTTTAAGGACCCGTTTATAAATTTTTGTGATCTAATTATTATTAAGTCTATATTATTACATTATTTAATTATTATTAAGTCTATATTATTACATTATTTAATTATTATTAAGTCTATATTATTACATTATTTAAGTTCTCACATGAGTCCTATTGTTCACAATAAACTTCGGGATATAATCTTGCGATAGAGCTGGAAGGGAGCATGAAAGCGAATTTACAATAGATTTTAAATATATTTTTCGATAGAATTTCGCTGTCCAAAATTAATTATGGGTCTTTATCCAATTCGGGTAACCACACTGTTTCTAGTCACATGATTTTTAACCAATAAGAGTTCGTAAATCATATTCTGAGCCGGCAACTATTAAAAGGTGATTTTGTCATTATAAAGTTAGAGCTGGATAAATATTGCATATAATATTACTCCCGACCTTTTTTGATAGTGCTCGAAGCTAGATTTTTGCCTTTGAATAAACTTACGAACTGGTATCGATATTAGTCCAGAGAGAGTATAATAATATTGTTCAAGTCGTGTGCTTATAAAAAGAATTATGAACTCACAAATTGCAAGCTTATTACGTATGTCAGATATTGGATGGTTGATTGTGAATTAATTTTTGTGGCTGCAATAATTTCGATGCCAAAATCATAATGCTGCTTGTATCAATAATCTGAATTTTAATGAAAAATTAAAGAATTAGCAATACATGTACATGTACATGTAACAGTGCTAAGAAACAAACATACATTTGATACATTAAAAGAAAGATGCAATTCTTTTGGATATTCATACTAAATTTTTGATTTAAAATTCAGATTATTTTGTTAGAGAATTAATTATTATTATAGTACATCTCGTCTAGACTCGACAATCATGTGACAATGTTTCAATATACAGTCGCACCTCATTATAGTCACAGAGTCGGAATATGAAAATCGAATGACTATATGAAGGGATGTTTATATAAAATTCCCTTCATATAGTCACAAAATAAGCCTTTGTGACTATATAGAAATAATTATCAAACAAAAAAAAGACAAGTATACAAAAAAGAAAATCAATTCAATTATTTATTATATATCAATTATATATCAATTATTTATTGCATAATTATATGTTCATAATTATTATACATTAGTTATCTGTACAAAAATCCTGTAATTAATATCTGTTTTTTTGGACTTTTCATATATTTATCTATATTTCTTATATATTTTTCTTAAGAATTATAACTCTTTAGACTTGAGATTTAATTCTGGATCAGCCTATTCTTTATAATGAAGAACTATTTCATTATATTATACACTTTTATGATTATTACAAGTGGAAGAGATAATATCTCATTCTTACTTTCTTATTTATTATCTTTAATTTTTTCATTCTGAACTATAGTAATAATATTTTACTCATTAAGTATATTTTTTATGATAACTAATTTATTAATTATTTGAATATATCTCTTTATAGTCAAGATAATTTCAAGAATATTCAGATTATTATTTGATAGCTAATCAGTTAATAACTATTATAATCTTATTATTATTGATTTTGATATTACTTTTAAGATATTGACTAATAATATATCACTTATATAATTCTATATCTTCATAATAAAGTTGATTATCTTCTTTACATTTAGTTTATTTCTAAAAAAAATTAAAAAAAAATTTAATTAAAACTACAAAGTAATATAAGTATAAAAAATTATATATATCTTTTTAAGTTAATATTTATTTTAAATTACTTGAAAATATATTTATAATAAATATATTTATATTTTAATTTGAATAACTTAATTATATTAGTATCTATTAATTGAATATATATAATTATATTAAATAATAGATAATATAACATAATATTTATAAGATTAAATAAATCATTTCAGTATTATTTACATAATCAATTATAATTTTCTCTATATATATTTATTTATAATTTATTAATATAAATCTGATTATTAATCTAATTTATAAATAATAGTTAAATTTTCAGTTAGTCTTTCTCTTAATCTTTCTTTAATCTTATTATTATTAATTTTGATATTACTTTTAAGATACTAACTAATAATATATCACTTATATAACTCTATATCTTCATAATAAAGTTAATTATCTTCTTTAAATTTAGCTTATTTCTAAAAAAAATAAAAAAATATTTAATTAAAATTATAAAGTATAAAAAATTATATATATCTTTTAAATTAATATTTATTTTAAATTACTTGAAAATATATTTATAATAAATATATTTATATTTTAATTTGAATAACTTAATTAT